TCTTTCCTTGGTGTCTTCCACCCCTTTGGCTCTTAAAACCTTATTTCCCCTTTTCTGTATAGATCAATGAACTCTGAGGGGAGGTTTTGATGAAGACATCTCACTTACGATTGAATGTCCCAGAGTCTGTCACTTTACACATTATCCAGTTGTGGGTCTCTGATTGAGTTCCCATACACTTCAGGAAGAAGCTTAGCTGATGATAGTTGAGCCAGACAATGTTATATGGATATATCAGAATGGCATTAGGAATAATTTTATTGATATAATATTTTGTTTTTCCTGGGTCCATCATCTACCTAGTTTCAGGTCTTGGCTATGAAAGCAGTTTCAGGCATGAACTCTATCTCATGGAGATGAAGTGGACCTTAAATTCAATCGAAGAGTGGCTGTTTACTCCCATGACTTTTGCTCTTTGATTGCCCCAACAAATTTTGCTGGCAGCTCATCATTGTAAATTATAATGTTTGTAGCAGGATTGGTGTTTACCTTTCTCCTCTGTCTATGCTCAGAATATCTTCCAATAGGGGCAAAGGCTCTACCTGGACACCAGCTCAACCCTCTGTGTTCAATAAGATGTGTGAGTTTTGTCTTCAGAAATAGCTCCTTACTGTCAGTTTCTGGAGAGTAAATAATAGTCTTGGCAATAACATGAGCTGTTAAGGGGTTTTCATGGGGCCCCTTTGGCCAATAACTCAATTAGAAGTAACACATCCTTAGTATTGAAGTTCTACTTGGGGCATTGTCTCTCCCATTATTTGGTGACTCCATTTAGATTTCTTTTGTACATGTATATGTTTTAGTAGTAGGTTTCCATATGAACCCTCAGATGGTACTAAGTTTTAGCTGTCCTTCTCTGTTTTCTCTCTTAATTCCATCATGCTCCCATTCCCATTTAATCCTTTCATTCCAGGTTCTCCCCTGTCTTTCTGTAGCTATATATTCTGGGGAAGTAAGTGAATATTTAAATAAATTTCTAATTATTTGTGTTTGTGTGTGCTGAGTTGGATGGCTTTTGTGCTAATGATGCTGACTGGTGGTTATATTATCTAACAGATCTAGCTCGTAAAGCAGTTAGCCCTCAGTAACCACCCTGGCCAGTTCTCATGTCAAAGCCATGTGACTGAGTTAGACTTAGGTCACTTCTCTGCTTTTCTGTTACTTCTGTCTCCATAACGTTGTGTAATTTCTGGAGAATGACTAAATTTTTATTAGTTTCTCAAGTTATTAAAGTTGCTGAACATTAGAAATTTCTGAACACTGGATCTAGACTACATGTGCGATATTAAATTATCAAGTAATATAGGATATTAAATTCCTAAAAGTAGCCAACATTCTTTTTTTAAAGAAGTTTTCACTGAATTAAAATTTAACAATAATAATCTTCCACTGACTTGGCAAGAAGCAACAATTTCTGAAACACTGAATTTTGTGCAGTATTAAAAACATATATCTTTTATTTTAATTCCACTTCAGTAAGTTTTTGATTACATGAGAATTAATTTATGAGAAACAACTTGCTAAAACTATATCAGCTGACACAATAGAATTATTTTTGATACTATAATTTTATGGTTTCTAATTTCTTCTATATTTTGCTTAAGGTAAAAATAATATTAAGGCTTGCATTCTCTCACAATTACAGCATGTCTTTGACAAATCATTTCACATTTAAAGCAGAAAATCAGTTGATCTCCATTTTTTCCCAAGATGTACAGATGCTACCTAAAGCATTTGAGTCCTGTACCACAGAGTTATCAAGACAATAGTCACAGCACAGCTTTTCTGTTTTTTTTTTCTTTCTTTCTTGAACTTTTATCAGAGGTACGCCAGAAGCACACTTAGGAAAGAGAAACATGATCTTTTCATTTTAGCCAATAGCTATCAAAATATTTACAAGATAAATGAAACTTTTTGCAGCAATATAACTAGAAATATAAAACAACATAAATGGATTTTATGTTACATTCATTAACAAAGAAAAAGATATTTTACTTCTTCCTGATTAAGGATGCTGTTGCTACAACCTGATTTTGGAAGAAATTAGATTGAAAAGTATATAAAATGATAAACACTTATTTAGAAAACCTGATATCATAGGTAGGAACATTACTGTTTTATTCTAAGTAATTTGATGTAATTGTCCTTGGAAACCATTGCAGACTGGTAACAAGGACTAAGCTTTCTTCCTCTGCCTATCCACACCATCTCTATCGGAACCCTCACATTCTGCAGCTGCAGTTGGCTCCTGCCTCCTTCTGCCATCCTCCTCTAGACTTTGAGTAACAGCTATTGAAAGCTTTCAAGAGAATTTGTATGTGACATTAACCAGGAAGAATTTGGTTCTTTCTTTATCATTGCATGAATACTTTTAGCTTCAGGTGCTAATTCATCCCTATGATATAAGACAGTTGGTAGATACCTCACACTGATTCTTTTCAAACAGTAAACATGATTTTTTTCTAGAAGGTAGAAGACAAATTGCACTTAGAAGGATATTTCCTCATTACAAATAATGAAACTCGGTAGTTTTGACATCATAGGTCATCTTTTTGTCCTGAGAAGTATCTCTTTATGCACAAGTTTCATTTCTATGTTTGAGTGACTTTTTTGTAATCTACTTTGTGCATATAAACATATATATGTTTATAAATATGCATGCATATTTATACATGCATGTTTTATTTCCTGAAACTCTTACTTAGTGATTAAGTAGTCTTATATGACCTTCTGAACCCAAAGGTAAGGATAGCACAGTTAGAATAAAATAAGAATGCTTAATTAAGTCCCTAGAGATTTTGAAACTCAATTTAAGGTTTCTTCTATCCTATTATTAAGATGTGTAATTCTTATGCAATTTCATCATAGAGAATATGTACTTCTTTTTTTAAAGTTGATGTTCCATAAAAATTGTTGAATACATGAATGAAGCACAGCTGAAACTGGATGCCCATTCATTACCTTCTGTTGCAGTAGAGATGTTGATATGGATTCAGTGGTGGTGGTACTAGGGAACTACAGGACCTTGGTGATGTGTAATGATGTAGTAGTAAATATTGTGGATTTGGTTCTCCATTGGCTAGAAAGGAGACTCACATTGTCATTGCTGAGGCACACTCATGTGATGGAGACAACTTCATCTCAGCTACAAGCAGACTTTGCACATCTTGACTGAGCCTGCCATATCAGGGCTTCAATTTACACAACTGGGCATTCCAGGATTTCCATAATAACACAAGGAACATGAGAAATAAAATATAATTACTTTAGTTTCTGCTCAGAACATTTGTGTTGTTATTCCATAAACTAAAATAATCAGCTTCAGTGCTGATTCAGTAGAGACACTTGTGACCTTATGCTTAAAATTAAGGCCATCCATGCATCCAGTTTATTTCACTGGTCTGTAGTTCAGCTCCAACTCTCCATAATGTATTTCCTCAGCTGTGTTTTCATTGTCATGGTCACACCACTGAGGGTGATGTTTCTAGTTTGAAGAAAAATATTGGTCAAATGGCAAGTCTATTTTCTTGGTATATGACATTATCACAGGCTCTTAATTTTCTTAGGAGGCAGGTTTCCTCTTATAATTTACCCGAGATTCATACAGATTTCTGAAGAGTACTGACAGGTCCTAAAATCTTATGACAAGAAAATTTACTTATTTTTATGTTTTACATTCAGAGTCAAATTATATTTACATGCATTTATATAATTTATTTTGATAAATTCCAGCCTCTTTCTCCTCCTCTCCATTGCCTCCCATATTTACCAGCACTATTCCTTTCAATTTCATCTGTTCTTTCAAAAAAATTCCACTAAGTCATCTTAGATCTCCTTGACTGCACATGGGTATTAGACTGTCAACTGGAACACTCACAGGCTCTCAGGAGCTGCATCCTTGAAGAAAGCTATCTAGAATATTTTTATTCAATTAAACCCAAAACATGCAAATCATCTATATGTCAAGATATGTATACATTTTCAGATGTTTAATATTAATGTACACAGAATATGTCATAACTCAGTAATCTTTCTAATTAAAAATGCCTTTATTCCAGACGAGTTTCTTTAGAATCCATACTCAAAGAAGTAGAGCTATATTAAGGTACAAGACTTTTTATTTATAAACAAATCTTAATCTTAATATTCCTATCTATAGTCTCTCACTTAATTTAGGTATAATTTTTAGTGATGATGTCCTTGGAGCCATGAATATCAACATTGAGACTGGTTATAATATCAGTGTGTGGTGAACCTAAAAGTGATGAGGAAAACACAGGCATATTTAGAAGGAAAGAACAGGACATATGATTGATTGATTGAGTAAAACTGGAGAAATATTGTCATATAGTTAAGCCTGCAAGAGAATACACATGAAAATATACTTCTCCAAAGGGGAGGAGAGTAGTTGGGAAGAATCAATGGAAGCTCCAGTGTTGCAGTGTTGGGTTAATTGCCCAAGTCTAATTCTCAATGGAGCCAGTCGTCCCAATAAATTTATTGTTATGCTATAAAGTAGTAGTTTCCAGAGGTACATTCTTAGTCCCATTCATCTGATGGTCAATACAGGCTTGGCTGTTCCTGATTGGACCTAGCAGCAGATTCTTCTCATACCTGCATGTTTTTATTTTTAGAACAGCCTCTTCCTTGGTAAATCTGCCAGTCTGTGAATACATTGCTCAATTGAGACCACACCTCTTTGGCTGAGTCCTTTGAATTTGTCCCCAGCTAGCTACTGCTGTTCTAGCATGCAGACTCAATTCTCTAGAAGGGGTGCAGAGTTATAACAGTTTTAATGTAAGCCTAATTATAGAATTATAGAAAATGTATAGAGTCCTAGTGGAATCCTTTTTGTCCTTGACTTCAAATTTGCTTAAAGCTATGTTTATTTTTGACTATAGCTACCTAATCAAAAAACTTCTTTTTTAAATATCTAATTCATTTTGGTGTAAGTTTTTATTTCTTGAAAATAAAAATTTCTGTATGACCTTTTATAATACAAGAGGAGAGCATGATTATGGCACTTTACTACCACAAATTATGCAGTTAAGTTGCCATCACTGGTGGAAATCACAGGTTCAGCACATATGTAGGGTAATGGATAAGCTTCATTCTAAGAAAATCACCTTCTTAATTATGGGGTCTACCCAGGCAGGTAAGTATAACTTTGCTTTTTAGAAAAATACAGTTATCAGTCTCCAGGTTCAGTAGACTAAATTCTTAGACACCTGAGATCAATCATTCCATGGAAGCACATAACTCATTCTAGATATTTGCATAACTACAAGTAGCAAATAAAGCATGTAAAAACAATAACAAAAACAAACAAAACCCAAAAGAAACAAACCAACAAAACAAAAAAACAAGCACAGGACTCTGATTTGGGTAGGGATTGATATTCAAAACATATTTTTGAGAATTTATTTTTTATTTAAATTAGAAACAAGCTTTTTTACATGTCAATCTCAGTTCCCTCTTCCTCCCCTCCTCCCCTGGACCGCACTGGCCTCCTATCCCATACCCTTTCTGCTCCCCAGGGAGAGTGAAGCCTTCCATGGGGACCTTCAGTCTTTCATATCATTTGGAGTAGGGCCTAGGCCCTCCCCCTTGTGCCTAGGCTGAAAGAGTATCCCTCATTGGGGAATGGGCTCCCAAAGTCCATTTCTACACTAGAAATAAACACAGATCCACTGCCAGAGACTGCATAGATTTCCCAGGCCTCCTAAATGACACACATGTTCGTGAGGTCTGGGTCGGTCCTATGCTGGTTTCCCAGCTATCAATCTAAGGTCCATGAGCCCCAACTTATTCAGGTCAACTGTTTCTGTGGGTTTTCCCAGCATGGTTTGACCCTTTGGCTCTTCATTCCTCCCTCTCTACCACTTGAATCAAGGAGTTCAGCTCAGTGCTTAGCTGTGGGTGTCTGCTTCTGCTTCCATCAGCTACTGGATGATGGCTCTAGGATGGCATTTAAGGTATTCATCATTCTCATTATCAGGGATGGGCATTTAAGGGAGCCTCTCAACTATGGGGTAGATTGTTAGTTGGGGTCAAACTTGTAGATCTCCGGACATTTCCCTAGTGCCAGATGTGTCTTCAGACCTATAGTGACTCCCTCTATGATGGTAACTGTTTGTTGCTCTCCTGTATTTTTCCCCTGAATGAAACTCCCTGCAACCTCATATCCTCCTCTCCCCTCCTATTCTCCCTTTCTCTTTCTTCTAAGTTCCTCTCCTCTACCCCCATGCTCCCAATTTGCTAGGGAGATCTTGTCCCTTTCCTCTTCTCCAGGGGACCATATATGTCTCTCTTAGGATCCTCCTTGTTTCCTAGCTTTTCTGGTAGTGTGGATTGCAGGCTGGTAACCCTTTTTTCTGTCTAAAATCGATATATGAGTGAGTACATACCATGTTTGTCTTTTTTGTGTGTGTGACTGGGTTACCTCGCTCAGAATGGTTTCCTCTAGTTCCATCCATTTGCCTGAGAATTTCAGTATTCCATTTTTTTCCCTGCTGAGTAGTACTCTATTGTGTAAATGTACCACATTTTCTCTATCCATTCTTCAGTTGAGGGACATCTAGGTTCATTCCAGGTTCTGGCTATTACAAATAATGCTGCGATGAACATACCTGAACAGATGTCCTTGTTGTATGAATGAGCCTTTTTTGGGTCTTTGCCTAAGAGTGAAGTTGCTGGATCTTGTGGTAGACTGAGTCCCATTTTCCTGAAGAACTGCCATACTGACTTCAAAAGTGGCTGTACAAGTTTGCAACCCCACCAGCAATGGAGGAGTGTTCCCATTTCTCCACATCCTCCCTAGCATAAACTCTCATTGGTGTTTTTATTTTTAGCCATTCTAACAGGAGTAAGATGGTGTCTCAGAGTTGTTTTGATTTGCATTTCCCTGATAGCTAAGCATGATGAGCACTTTCTTCACAGTCTTTCAGTCATTTTAGATGCCTCTGTTGAGAATTCTCTATTTAGTTCTGCACACCACTTTTTAATTGTTTGGTGTTTTGTTGGCTAGCTTCTTGAGATAATTGTATATTTTGGAAATCAGCCCTCTGTCAGAAATGGGGTTGGTAAATATCTTTCCCCATTTTGTGGGAAGCCATTTTGTCTTGTTAACTGTGACCTTTGCCTTACAGAAGTTTCTCAGTTTCCATTTATTAATTGTCGATCTCAGTATCTGTACTACTAGTGTTACTTTCAGGAAGTGGTCTCCTGTAACAATTTGTTCAAGGATACCTCCTCCACTTTCTCTTGTAAGAATTTCAGTGTGGCTGAATTTATGTTGAGATCTTTGATCCATTTGGACCTAAGTTTTGTGCATGGCAATAGATATGGATCTATCTGTGGTCTTCTACATGTCCTCATCCAGTCAGGCCACACAAATTGTTGAAGATGCTTTCTTGTTTCCATTGTATAATTTTAGCTTCTTTGTCAAAAATCAGGTATTCATAGGTGTGTGGATTAATATCAGGGTTTTCAATTTGATTGTATTGGTCTCTCTATCTATTTTTGTGCCAATCCAAGAAGTTTTCAGGACTATAGTTCTAGAATGGAGCTTAAAGTCAGGGATGGTGATGCCTCCAAACATTCCTTTGTTGTACGAGGTTGTTTGGGCCATTCTGAGTCTTTGGTTATCCATATACAGTTGAGTATTGTTCTTTCAAGGTCTGTGAACAATTGTGTTGGGATTTTGATGGAGACTGCATTTAATCTGTAGATTGCATTTGGCAAGATCGCCATTTTTTTCTAGGTTGATCCTGAGTGTCCAAGAGCATGGGAGGTCTTTCCATTTTTTTTTATCTTCTTTAATTTCTTTCTTTAAAGATTCAACATTCTTGTTATACAAGTCTTTCACTTTTTTGGTTAGCATTACCCCAAGATATTTTATGTTGTTTGTGGCTATAGTAAAGGGTGATGTTTGACAGTTATTGAAGGTTATCTGATTTATTTCTCAGCCCTTTTATAGTCTGTTTAATAGGGCTTCTGATTTTTCCTTTTTGAGATAATCTTGTATCCTGCTACATTGCTGAAGGTGTTTATCAGCTGTAGGAGTTCCCCTGGTAGGATTTTTCTGGTCACTTATGTAAACTATCATATTACTTGCAAATAGTGAAAGTTTGACTTCTTCCTATCCAGTTTGTATTCCCTTGATCTCCTTTTGTTGTCTTATTTCTCTTGCTAGAACTTCAAGTACAATATTGAAGAGATATGGAGAGAGTGGTCACCCTTGTCTTGTTCTGGATTTTAGAGGAATCACATTGAATTTCTCTCCATTTAGTTTGATGTTGGCTGTTGGTTTTCTGTATATTGCTTTTGTTATGTTTAAGTATATTTCTGTTATCTCTGATCTCTCCAAGACCTTTATCATGAAGGGTGTTGAATTTTCTCAAGTTTTTTTCAACATCTAGTGAGATGATCTTGTGGTTTTATTTTTTTAAGTTTGTTTATGTGATAGATTACATTGATGGATTTTCATATGTTGAACCATGCCTGCATCCTTGAAATGAAGCCTACTTGATCATGGTGAATGACTTTTCTGATGTATTCTTGTTTTCTGTTTGCCAGTGTTTTGTTGTGTATTTTTGCATCAATGATCATGAGGGATATTGGTCTGTAGTTAATTTTCTTAGTTGTGTCTATGTGTGGCTTGGGGACCAAGGTAATTGTAACCTCGTAAAAAGAGTTTTGGCAATGACCCTTCTGCTTCTATTTTGTGGAACAATTTTAGGAGCATTGGTATGAGCACTTCTTTGAATTTCTGGTAGAATTCTTCATTGAAACCGTATAGCCCTGGCTATTTTTTGACTAAGAGACTTTTTTAACTGCTTCTGTTTCATTAGGGGTTATAGGTCTATTTAAATTGCTTATCTGTTCTTGATTCAATTTTGATAAGTAATATATATCCTGAAAATTGTATGTTTCCTTTAAATTTTCCAGTTTTGTGGAGTATAGGTTTTCAAAGTATGACCTGATGATTTTCTCGATTTTGTCAGTGTCTGTTCTTATGATCCTCTTTTCATTTCTGATTTTCTTAATTTGCATGTTATCTCTCTGCCTTTTGATAATTTCAATAAAGGTTTTTCTTGATTTTCTCGAATATCCAAATCTTTGTTATATTGATTCTTTGTATTGTTTTGTTAGTTTCTATTTTATTGATTTCAGCCCTCAGTTTGATTATTTCCTGGTGTCTACTCCTCCATGGTGAGTTTGGTTCTCTTTGTTCTAAAGCTTTCAGTTTTGTCAATTCTCTAGTGTGACTATTCTTCAGTTTCTTCATGTGGGCACTTATTGCTATGAATTTTCCTCTTAACACTGCTTTCAAAGTATCCCAAAAGTTTGGGTATGTTATGTCTTCATCTCATTGAATTCTAGGAAGTCTTTAATTTCTCTTTTATATTTCTTTCTTAACCCAGGAATGGTGCAATTGTGCATTATTCACTTACCATGAGTTTGTAGGGTTTCTGAAATTTATATTGTCATTGAATTCTAACTATATAGCATGGTGGTCTGATAACATACAGGGTGTTCTTCCAATTTTTTTGTACCTATTGACATTTGCTATATTGCTGAGTATGTGGTCATTTTAGAGAAGGTTCTATGTGGTGCTGACAAGAAGGTATATTCTTTTGTGTTTGGATGGAATGTTCTACAGATGTCTGTGAAACCCAATTGTGTCATGACTTCTATTAGTTCCTTTTTTGTTGTTAAGTATTGTCTGCTGGTCCTGTCTAGTGGAGAAAGTGGGATGCTGAAGTCTCTTGGTATAAGTGTGTGAGGTTTTATGTGTAATTTAATTTTTAGTCATGTTACTTTTATGAATGTGGATGCTTTTACATTCGGTGCATAGATGTTCAGGATTGAGACTTCCTCTTGATGGAGTTCTCCTGTAATGAATATGAAATGCCCTTTTTCATCTCTTTTGATTGCTTTTAATTGAAAGTCCAATTTGTTAGATATTAGGATTGCTACACCTGCTTGTTTTGGGGTCCATTTATTTCATTGGAAAATATTTTCTCAATCCTTAACTCTGAGGTACCAAACCTTCTGTCTTTGTTTCATGTATATAGTAGAAGGATGAATTCTCTCTTCATATCCATTCTCTTAGCCTGTGTAATTTAAACAAGTGAGTTAAGACCATTAATATCGAGGGA